TTGCATCAGTGTACACCAGTTCAGAACTTACAGTGGAAAAAGAACAGATCTTATGCAATAAAGTAAAAAAAGAGAAAAGGTTACAACAGAGAGAAGAGGTGAGATGGAATATCAATGCCTTGATTGGTTACATACCTCGCTCGCGCATGTGCAGTTCATTTTTATCCACGCTGACATCAAAGGTGCCGACAGAGAGTTGCGCTACTGTATATACTGTGCTAAAAGATCTCTCTTTCGTCGACGCATATGCACATACGTTGTCTCAGCGCATGCGCGTTTTCTTGTATTTTTTCTATACTCTCTTCTCTTCTCATCTTTCTCTCTCTCTCTCTCTCTCTCTCTCTCTTTGAATTACTAGATATAATTAAAGCATTTTTTGTTTTGCAAACTGAAGAGATATCTCGTCAATTAGGGCCAGTTTCACCAACGCCAGTTAATTTAATCGGCCGTTGACTGATCAATCGCGTTTGCTGTTTAGTAGAATTGACCAATTGCGGTTGACAGTTACTAATCATCGAATAAGCTTAGGGCCACTGTCACCAAGCTCAGTTAACTTAACTGGCCAGTTAGTCCATCGGAATTGACCAATCGCATTTGTCATTTTGTTTGAAGAATTGACAGATTGGTCAATTCCGATGGATTAATTGGCCACCGAGGCAATCTAATGGCTCAGGACACTCGTACGGAATACAAAAGATCCGGGTTCGACTCCCAGCCGAGGTAATATTTTTCGCAATAAATTTAATTACAGTTTTTTCAGCATATTAACATCTTTGTAATATGATACCTGATTGAGCATCGAAATTATTAGAATTTAATTTAATTCGCGAAATTACTGCAGTGGTTTAATTGTGTTTAGTCCGGAAATATTTCGGTACACAGTTTGTTAGACTACAATTGTGGTATATATGCACAGTATATACAGTAGCGCAACTCTCTGTCGGCACCTTTGATGTCAGCGTGGATAAAAATGAACTGCACATGCGCGAGCGAGGTATGTAACCAATCTAGGCATTGATATTCCATCTCACCTCTTCTCTCTGTTGTAACCTTTTCTCTTTTTTTACTTTATTGCATAAGGTCTGTTCTTTTTCCACTGTAAGTTCTGAACTGGTGTACACTGATCCAATAAGTTCAGAACCTTCGAAAAATAACAGACCTACACAATATATATTATATTTAAAACAGAAAATAAAATAAAAATGAAACATAATAGATATACATTTATTTCTCAGGAAATATAAGGAGATTCGTACTTATACTTAACCTTTTTTTATTTGCAATGATAGTCAGAGTTACAAAATATAAACGCAATAAGAGAACTAATAATAATATAACAATCCGTTTTATTTTAACTAATCGATATTACTTAATCTCCAATTTGAAATATTCTTCCTTTACTGTTAAAAAAACGGCGTTAAATTTATTTTTTAAATTTCTTTTTATATTTTTCAGATAAAATCCAGTTATTCGACTAATTCAATTTACTATATCTCAAATCATAACAATATTAAACCTGTTACATGTTATTTTAAAAAACGAATAAAAAATGACTGCGTTCAGCGTTTATTTCGCAAATGTTGGAAGTTTTCTTTGCGCTGATTGTATTATACTTTTAGATCTAGAGGATTGATGGATTCTATCTTAGCACACAATCATAAAAATGGTTTCAAAACTGTGTTCCGCTGAAACGTACCTATTATGTTAACTAATTGATAATGGGGGGGGCTGCATTCAACAGAGAAAACTAATCAGTTATAATTAATCAAAACTGTCACTTTCCGTTAAATGGCTATTTAAATCCCTTATATGGACATTTCAACGGTGCAGACAGACAGCGACAATAAAGAGAAGAAGCGAGATGGAATATAAGTGCCCTGATTGGTTACATACCTCGCTCGCGCATGTGCAGTTCATTTTTATCCACGGTGAAATCGTGAGAGTTGCGCTACTGTATATACTGTGGTATATGTCAAGTACATATATATCATATTTAGTGATTAAAGATTGAATTATTTAAAGCATTTTAAGATCTAGCTTCGACCGTATAGGGCTCTAATTTATCGGTTGTGTCTCTCACATACACGGTCTAAAAATGATATTATAATTTATATTATTTCATTAAAATTTAATGTAGTCAAAATATAAAAAATGTTATGTATTATAAATCTTTATTAACATCTTATTTATTTTTAAATGTATCAGTTGAGAAATAGATTATATCTTCTAAATATCTGATAGTTTAAAAATAGTCAAACAAATTAAAGACAATTCAGATTTTAATAATATAGTAATTATGGACAATATCTAATGTAGCAACCATATAATCTTGTTATAAAATTTAAATTATTAAATCTATTTTTTCACACTCATAATATATTTGTAAAGCATTGTACCATTTCTGAAATATAAACCATAATAAACAAAATAAAAAGATTATTATATACATAATTAATAATTAACTTTTAAACTCTATATAATAAAGTCTTATAACGAATATTTAATTCTACTTTTCATTCTTGTTTATTTTCATTTTTTGTACACACAATTAGTTCTTCATCTTTTTGTAATATATTTAGAGTTTAAAGGTAAATTATTGTATAAATATTGATTTAATACAAACAATTGACATGTTTTTTATCACTCGTTTGCTACATTTAATATTATATTATATATTATAATTATATTGAATAAAAATAAAATCTTTGAAAAAAAATTATAGTAATAACATAAAACAATATGATATTATGTTTAATTGTTTTTCAATATTAAATAACATATCGAGGTGGGTTTATAAAATGGAGATCATTATATACTACAGAATCATCTCTACGAATACCCCCAAAAACTATTAATTCTCCCCTTCCCACTACAAGAGAATACAGAATTCTCTCATCGGGTCCCGAATGATCATTTTGTTTTAAGGGAATCCACAAAGCATTGCAGTCGTCCGAAAGAACATTAGTAATATCCAATACAAATATCGATAATGTGTTCTCAGCTTTTTTGGATACTTTCACCAGCTGTGTCTTCTTATTACGAATTTTCTCCTCCATTCTTCTTAGCGATTCCAACTGACGTTGTCTATTCGTGATTGCGTTACTACGAAGAGGTTGATCGCGAAATGCGGCCATACTTAGAGTATTATCACCATAAAACGGTATCGTTTTTGGGATATTAGATGTATGTGATGAAGGATGTGCATTTTGCGAATGTGATCTGGAGAATGCTCCATGCCGTCCATTTATATTTTCATCCTTATCTACAGTAGATACGTTTCCTTGCCTAAAAAATTCGATTAATAATAATAGCAAAGTCATTACAATTGTTTGTCAGTGTATCTCTTTACAATGCTATATTGCAATTGCATCAGACCTTTCGGGCAAAAGATTTGATTCACATAAACGTGGTGAAGTACTCCTTTGAACCTTTTTTAATGAGATACTCATATCATTTGGCTTTGTTTGACGTCTATTTTTGCTAAGTACAATAATATAATTTCCCACCTATGCAAATAACAGTATTTTATATATATTAAGATCTAGCAATATATGAGCCAATTATATTCAATGGAGTAGCATTTTAATGGAATTAAATTACATACCTTACAAGCCTGATGACACCAAATACGCGTTGGTGCCCATTCAGTATTGTGCATATTGACTTTCTTCCATGTCCAAGACTCACCTTCCATTGTTAACAGCCAAGCATCATTCATAGCAGCATTTGGTCCTGTACAACCCCCTGTAGATTTTCAAATTTCCACGTAATTATATAATTATGTTTAATTATTTTGACAGTAATAAATGGAAATTTCAATGTTTCTTATATAAAAAAAAATTAACAAAATTAATACTTGTTTCAATATCAAAATACAATCTTAAAAGTGAATAATATCAAGCATAAGTAGATATTTCTTTTACCAAGCACAAGTAAATGTTTCTCTCCAAGTTTAATTTGTGACTGGCCGTAACGTGGCTGTGGTTTCAAATTTGATGTATTTTGTTTGTGCCAGGTGTACGAATCCAAATTTAAACACCATACATCATTAGAACTACTTTAAAATAAGATAAGCAATGTTGAGCATAAAAAATATACAGTATATATTTTACTTTCATGCACTCATAT